GGGTGGGAGAACGTTCTCTCCCGTGAAACGTTCGAGCCCGCTTCGATTCGAAACCCACCGAACACACACAAACCTTGTTTCTGAGATAGGCGGTTCTCCAAGACCGTAGACCACTGAGCGCCAGCTGAGATAATGGGAAGGAAATCAGTTCATTTCTATGTTGATCCCACGGGCTTGGTTCCTGTCGCGCTTAGAAGAGCGCCACGATTGCCTCCTCGGTGATCGAGAAAATCGAGCCAGAAAATCGGCTTGATAGCTCGGCTCATCGACCGACTTAACTGTCTCAGCCGAGTCTATAATGTAGTCTTACTCGCGGAGACGCTCGTCTTTAAAATTGACGATTTATCGGGACATCCAGCTCTCTCTCTCTCTCTCTCTCTCTCTCTCTCTCTCTCTCTCTCTCTCTCTTTCGAACAACCGAGTTCTTCCTCAGGGGAACGAATTATCAATTGATAGATAAAAAAAAAAATGCATTTTTATATTCAATTATTTGAACAATAGAAAAATCTTATAATAATTATACATAATAACACCTTTATTCTTTTAATAAAATTATTATTTAAGAGAGTGTGGGGTTATATTGGAATGTCAATTGCATTGCATTAAAGAGACGAGGATGTGGTTATACGTCAATATTTATCTAGCCCGTATTTCAAAATCTCCAGTTTAGAATTTTTGTTTTCTACTTTACAATGTAGGATTTAGTAACGTGCCTATTTATTTTAGAATTTCTTACAATTTATTTGGAAATTTAGATACAATGTACCTAACAACCTTCTTTCGAAATTAAATATTAAATATTAGAATAATGATGAGTATCACCTTATTTCGTTTCAAAAAAATACATCTAGCCTTTCTTTCTTTTCTTTTTTTTTTTTTTTCAAAGAACGGTACAAGGATCTGTAATGTTTCCAATTATTTAATCCCACTATTAACAGAGAACATTCTCCGCAATTACTCGGCGCACGTTATAATTCACAGGACGCGCGCGATCGGGGATAAAGGGAGCGTGATGCGTCTTATTCGGGTTGGCGCAGTGATCTGAAAGATTGCGCGTCTAAATGCCAATGAGTTTGCGGCCAGAAGAGTTTCACCATGGGCCTCTCCCCCAGGGAGACCAAGCGGCTAGCCGAGCAATTTGTCAACACCATTAGACGGAGGCAACAAGGGTTGACTTCGGCGCATCTGCCAGCGGATCTCGCGCAGCCATCGGCACAATAAAGGGGTAGTTAATGACTATCGGGGGTATTTCGATCGGAAACCTGGTGCAGACCGTATGCCAGCCTGTTGACAAAATATTGGGATACTGTCATTGACCGAAAGGGATAACAGATTTGTCAGGAAAGCCTTTGCCTCTTTCCATCGACCGTTCGCGAAGAAACGAAACGTTCGGGCAGTGAACGCTATCGGATTCTCCTTTGCTCCACGTGTTTTGCATTAATGGGATATTAATAAGAACTGCGGCGAAAGTGAAATGCAAATGCGGTTTTAATTTCGGGTGATATCGATGAATAATTCGAACGAACGATCGTCGCGTTTGCTCGATGTTTAAGGAGGAGGGGAACAATGTTTCAGGTGATGGTAGTAGACTGCGTCTTAGAAATATTTTTGAGAGAATTATCTTAATTAAAACCAAGCGATCTACGATTCTTCCTGCATTGTCGCAGGTCAAGAGTTCAAAAACTTCTAGTAATATATTTCTTATGAGATGAATGAAAGCTTCGAAAACCCTTTTCACAACACCTATTCAAACATCCATTCTTCCAATTCGTCGCGCCCAATTACACAGCCCTTCGTCTAATCATAAATTAACTCGAAATGAAAATGAAACTCACGAACCGATCGATTGCCGATTCTTCTTGTAGATTCAGAGTTCGAAAGCTTCCGACAACATTTTTCTACGAAGCTGCCAAAATTTTTCACAATCTCCTCAAACATCCAAGAATCCACTCTCCCAGAGTACTGTCCGCCCTAACCTCCAACTCGAATTAAAAAAATGAAACTCATCTCGAGTCGATCGATCGTCGAAAGCTGACTCAATCAGCCAAATGAAAACTTACGAATTGCTCTTTTGAAATAACTCGTCTTGGCCGATTCGAAGTGCTCCAGCGAGTTCGGGTCCTCTTCAACGAATCGGAGGGGATCGGAGGTGAAGGGCGCAGCGAAACGTAGGAAAGATCGCGATTTCACAAACGAACGGAAACCCGTAGTAGAGTACCTGCGGTCTGGAAGTGGGAACTGCCGGCTCTACGAGTGAAACTGAAACGGGGATAGGTGGGATGCCATTGGAATAAGATCGGGTTTAGCCGCAGTGTCGGGTTCGAGCCCCGGATAAGTCTGCCTTATCCCGATAAGCCGGTGAGTTAATGAATCACAAAACAGGTGGTGGCGCTACTGAGAGATCGTCTTTCGTCCTCCCGGCTCGTTGCCACTCGCTGCCAAACCTCAGATTCTTACGCGATCGGCGCGACACCGTCGCGTTTCCTTCCTTCTATCATCTGCTTTCCCTCTTCTCCGTTTCGTTTCGTTCTTCACTTTCGTTACGGTTACGCGAGGGAAACTACCAAAACTGATACACTCGAAACTGGAATATGGGCCTTCGGATGTTTGTTCACGCGGCCGTCTTTATCTCGGCCTCGAGAACCATTCGTTCGACCCGTGGAACGTGCGTTTCACTCTTCTCACGGAGGAGAATTAGGACGCCACGTACGCTTCCTACGTTTGGAGACCGAGAGACGAAGATAAAAAGAGAACTTTATACTCGTGTGTGGTACGAAAATATTGGGAAAATATCCTGTCCTGACGTTTCGAGTTGAGCCGTGGGGAAACTTTGGAAAATGTAGAGTTACAGATGTTTCTCTTATTTTAAGAATTTTAACTCGGCTTTTAATTCTTGAATAAAACTTGAAGCAAATTACCTCTCCGCTACCTGTCTCTACGTTACGAATCGTTTCTGATGTTAATGAAGGAAGAACGCTCGAACGCGTCAACGACGCTCGATAATCATCGTAATTCAAAATTTTTTATCTCCCGTGTAAACGCGCGAGAACGTTTATCTGGACGTTTAAATAATTAACAACTCGTCCTTGAAGGATTACCAGTGTTACTGGTGTACCGCGTGTAATTCGTTTTCACGGCGATTTTTCGACGACGATCGAATTAACGCGAGGGAACCAGGCCGGAATTTTATTTCGTGTATCAAAGCCCGTATCAAAAGCTGGAATAACACGATGGGCGCGGTGCTTATCAAAGCTATTTGTACTAATATTTTATCTGCGCACCGCTGCCACTTGACAAAAATCAACGTACAATGTTGTTTTATCTCGCTCGGAAATTCTCACCGAAATGTCGCGTATTGTTTATACCGCGTGCTCGCGTGAAAAATAAAAAAAAAAAAAAAGAAAGAAAAACGCGAACGAAACGCGATTAGGTGCTCGTGTACCCGAACGTTTCGCGTTCGAATCTTCGTCACGAGCGTGTAAAATAAATTCGCAGGCAGATCGAGAGTTTTATCGTCGACCAGAATGAATATCAGAAAGTCACAAGTTGATAAAAGCCTTCTGCCAAGTTTTTTTTTATTCTTTTTTTTCGTATCGAGTTCCATCTCTTCGACCTTTTTTCTTTTTTTTTCTTTAAAAAAACGGCACGACTTTCTCGTTTCAACAACGAACAATCGACGAACAAAGCGACGCGTCAATCTTACCTTGCGTGCGTCGTACGTGCGAATTTGCTAGATATACGAGATGTTCTGAAAAGACGCACTGATAACGGGTGAATGACGCAGCGCGCGATTTAGGAGCAGGAAGTTAAGAGCGTAGGTATTTGTCGCGCTCGAATATCGATGATATCGCAAATAACGAAATCAGAGGCATTGACAAGCCCGCTACAAGCGATTGTCGCCAGCCGACCGGAGGAAAAGCAATGTTCTTCCACCGTATCGATACTTTCGATCGTATCTGCTATACTTTTTTGACGTGCTCCCCTTCACGGGATTTCTACGAAATGTTTCTCTTTATAAATTTAAATTTAATCTGAATTCTCCATCCTTCGATTTTTTTTTGTTTTCTTTTTTTTCCAATTGATACGACTTGGCGTTGCGTTGAAAATTGGAGATGGAGCAACCGATGACATTGAAACAGAATGGGCATCCTCAAAAATGTGATTTGGGAATTTACGATGATCGGTGATAGAAATGGCGAAGAGTAAATTACAAAAATATTGTTCTATGAACGGTATTGCGATAAATATTGCTGATTTCTACGAATTGATAAACATGGTACAATCACAGATTCGTGATTCAGCTTCACTGTGAATATAAACATTTGCAGATGCAGAGAATGCAAATACCAGACACCTATTTCTCAATTTCTTTGTTTCACAGAGATACTCTGAAATGCCCTGATGTTTCATCGCGTGAAATTAAGAAGGCAACAACAACAGGGCCATTTTCCTCGCAGTTGCTGAAAACCAACGTCAAGCAACATCTTGAGCAGAAGCTTTGAGACACTCCAATGGAACGACAAGTAATATTGGAGTATAATACTCTGAGGCATTACTACCAAACCTCTCACAACAATAATACTCGTGAAACAGTACAATATCGATCAATCCGTCAAGATCTAGTTTCACTTTAGTCATACGACATATACGAGAAGAATAAACTCTTGCCAAACAACATTCACTGACCACTAGACTGTTTACAGAAATTTTAAACAAGCAGAGTGTGTAAGATCAACGAAAAGACCCAAAGAAAATGTAAAATACTCAAAGCTCTCAAGAACGAAGAATTCTCGCAATCTTCACTCGCGTCACTTTCCAAATTCGCTCGATCTTTCCTCCACCGAAAACTGAAACCAAGTAGCCTCTGGCCACTCCCGAGGAAGCTTCAAGAAAGCATCCGTATCCATCGATCGTTTCCCTCGTGTTCGTCATGTTTCCTTCGCTCGAGACGAGAAGAACGACGGGCCGGTGAACGACCCTCGATATTGTGACCGACTCACCACGTTTCAGCTTCTCCAGCGGCTCGTGCAACTGATGGCTGGAATCGTGCAGCATGGAGGCGTTGTGGTGCGAGTTCCCGTGGATATCGTGATGGTGCATCGTTCCTTGAAGATGGTCACCGTGTAGGCCGGCCATCGAGGCCGCGGCGGCCGAGTGCTGATGATGCTGTACCGAGAGGCCGGTCGTCGATCCGGTCACGAGATCCTGAAGGCACAGGTCCGTGTTCCCGCCGCCTCCGCCTCCGCCGCCGGCCAGCTCGAGGCTGCCCCCGCCCCCGCTGCCCCGCTCCATGCTGTAGAAGGTTAACGTCGTGTTGACTGATCTGTACAACGCGACGCAAGATCAGGCGAGCCCTCGCGAGGCTGTTTCGTCGCGCGTGATCAGCTCGTCCTGCGAGTCAGTCGGCTGCGTTCTCGCGTGGTGTTCGCGATCCGCGTTCCCTCAGGTACCAGGCATCCGACGACGCGTTCCCTCGGCGACGAGCAGGTAGACGACGATGGATTCCGCTCGCTCGACGATTTTACTACTGGCGACGGCCGTCGGCTGGAGGCATCCGTTTCCTCCTTTCCGAGCGCTAAGAGACCTCCGATCGACTAACCACGGCTCCTCCGCTCACTCGACTACTTCTCGTTAGCGACGCGAACGATCGTGCTTGCACAGTGAACGTTTGCCGACTACTTTTCGTGGATAACCTCGTCATAGGGTTCGGTTGCAACAGCAACCCGTCTCGCAGACCAGGTGGGGACCAGCGTTCCAGCGTTCTCCGCGTTCTTCCGTCGCGTCGCTATTCAGCCGTGATTTCGCGGATGTCAACGACGGATTGGCGATGACGTTGACGGTGCGGAACGATCGTTCTCATGGATCGTAACTTGTTAGAGGGAAACTCGACCAGCTCGTTCGAACGGAGAAAATGATCGAATTCACACGCACGTGCTCCAGCACTATTCGGGCAGAAGCAACTGATAAATCGGACAACCACGGATCGCGCGAACGATAAACGACGTGTTACGTAAGGATCTACGAAGAGACTGGCGATGAGAATAGTGGGAGATTCGGAATAGGCGGCAACGAGAAGTAGGTTAAACCAGCTCGCACTATGATCGTCGTAGATTGCACACACTTTGGTTTCTTGGGTACTCCCTTGCCAGATCTTCGTATCCTTTTCGTTTCACGACAAGGATTTCAAGTTTCGCGTAATGTTCGCGCATCGATCGCTTCTTACTGCACCTTACGGTCTTCGATTTCTTCTAGTCACTGATCTCGTCGATCGGTGGAAGGAATCCAACTTGTTTCGTCGGGTACTCTCTCTACTCGACTCTGTGGAAAGTTTGATCCATCGACAAACTCGACGTTTCCTCCAGCCAGGCTCTCGACGAATCACTGCACTTTTCTTTTCTTTTTCCAGTCGCGCGTTCGAACCGCGATCACAAAGAGAACTTACGTGTATATCCAGTCGTGGAAGTATCACCACCGTCGTGTATCGCGAGGACACGAGCAACACAACCCCGAACACGTATCGTAATACCGTTATATCACTGGACTCGCGACCGTTGACGCGCCATCGAGACTTCCACCAGGGATTACCAAGCACGCGGTTCACTCGGTAGCTGACGACGACGACGACGACGACGACGACGACGACAACGACAACGACGACGGCGTGGGAAATCGGGCGCGAGTTCCGCGCCGTGACATGACGACGATCCGCGAGCGGAACCTTTCGGTCCAAGTTGAACGTGGCGCGGCGGCTACGCTCCTCTCGTCTCGCTGGCTCGGTCTTCTCACCTTCACGGGGCACGGGCGTTAAGGAACGACAGACAGGCAGAGAGCGCGTGCGACAGAAAGAGAAAGGGAGAAGAAGACAGACAGAGGAAAACGTAAGAAAGCGCGAGTGGTGCTGCAGGTCGCGGTAGTATAGCCGGTTTTCGTAGTAGATGGAACGTGTAGTGGCCGCGCGTCGGTAGTAGGTGGGTCCGCCAGGCTTAGCCGGTTGAGCCTTTCGGACTGCCTGCCGGCTTAAGTCTCTAAGTCGGTAAGCCGAGCGGATCTAGTGGTCTTGGCTGGTGCACTGGCTGCCTGCTAGCCTGTCTGCCTTCCTTGCTTGCCGGGCGGCTTGCCTGACTGTCTGACTGCGCCTCGCCCTGGCTCGCTCGCTCTTACTCCCCTCCATCCGTTCCATCTCTCTTCAGCTCTCTTCAGCACTCCCACCCTGCTCTCGTTATCTCTCCCTCGAAGCTCCGTCTCGCTCGCGCTGCCAGCGATCTCTCCTGTCTTCGTGCTTCGTTTCATCCCTCTGCCCTCTGGTTGCCATCGCCGCGCGTCCTTCTCCCTCGCGTGCTATCGCTCCCCACTCGGATCCCCTCGTTTTCGTCCTCTCTCGCTTCCTTCGCCACGTTTCTCTCTTTCTCACGCGCCCGTGCTCTCTCTCTCTCTCTCTCTCTCTCTCTTTCTCCCGTCTCTCGTTGCACGATCTCTCACGCCTGTATCTGTCACCTCGTCCCCGACATCCCTCGATTCGACCACCCGGCAACTCTCTCTCTCTTTCTCTCTCTCTCTTTCTCTCTCTCTCTCTTTCTCTCTATTTCTCTCACACACACACACACACACACTGCTTACCACCCCTACTCAATATCGCCGCGCGTTTCGTCTCGTTCCCTCGCTGCCGCGATCTCTCACGCCTGTGCCTCTCTTTCCCGTCCCAGTCCTGTTCGAAACAGTCACCGGTTCGCCTATGTTCGGTATCGTCGACGCACCTCTCTTCATCTACCCCCACTTGTAAACGACGCCCCTCCAACGACGTCCGAGTCGCCCCTCCCCTACGTCCACTCTCCCGATCTCTCTCGTCTCTCCCTCGCGATCCACCACGCACACCACGCACACCAGCCCCTCTGCATTTCCTTTCTCTCTTCCGCTCCTCTCCGCGCCGCCGTGACCACCTTCTGATTATCGTTTGTTTCTTTCCGTTGACGTTTGTCGCCTTGGATCGTCATGCGTCGCTTTAATCTCCAACGACACGCTCCACGATCTGCCATTCTCCTTCCACGTACTTATCATCTGCTCGTTCGTGTACATTCTTCTTCTTCGTTTCGGGAGCGAGCGAGAACACGTGGAACCAGCTTCTTTTTTATTAAGAAACTTGGCACACGGCTTTAATGATCCCGATGGAGGATCGATGACGATCGGTCGTTCCCGCGGTTACGTTTGATCGTTCGCCGCCGCCGCCATCTTGCCACTGTAAAATTTAAATAGAACGTGGAAAAATCTTTGCCGAGATACCGCGATTCGTGTGGAGCAGTATGCAGTTATCGCTCGTCTTATCTGTCGAAGCAAATACCCATCTTCATAGACTCGGACTGCCTCTGTGCTGGGCGTTTCGAGCGACACGGAGAGGTGTGTCGCGCGTTCACTGCAAACTCCGTCGAAACGATCGCCACCCGCGTCCCGCGTAGAATGTCTTTTTTTGTTTATAAAATAGGAAACTCTTGGCCACCTTCGGGAATTAGAATTCGCAAACTTTTTACGATCTTTTTCATTTCACGGAACAACTTTCTCCCGCGTCGCGCGAACTTGTGTCATCGAGTTTCAGATTCAACCCTCGACTGTCCCTTCCAAGGAGACATCATATCTTATATATTTTTTTTATAATATAAATATAATTATAAAGGTATTAATATAAATATAAATATTATATAAAGATATTGATATAATATAAATATAATTATAAGGAATGTAGATGCACGTTTGGCGTTGTACGATGTAATAATGTTAATAGTGTAATATCTGAGCAAACGCTTGGAGTGAAAGCTACAATAACGAAGAACAAAAGAATTTCAAAAGAGGAAATTCGGATTAATTCACAAAATTAAATTAGACATTTCTCATCGCTTCCTACGGAAATTTATAAAACGATAGAAAATATTTCTTTTCTCGGAGACTGAAATACTATCGTATGTGCCATTAATAATAATTCCTATAAACTATAGCTGTTCTAGAAAATGCACGTTAACGATCGCTTTAAACCTAAACGACGTCAAAATACAATCAACTAAATTTCAACAGGATGATTATTCCCAAATGCCGCGTCATTTTATTCGAAGTGATACTACTTCATAAATAAATTACGGTGGATGATATGAAAAAAAAAGTTTTAAAGGGTTAAAATCAAAAAATGAAAGACTTCACGAGTATACAGGGTGAAACGCGCATTGTTTAGTTTCACTTCATTGTTTGATCTTCCAAACAACGATTGGAAAAAAGCAACAGTGGAGTCTAATCAGTTTATAAAAAAATTCCAGAAATGAAATTGACCGTTGAGATCGGCATATTCCAAGCAGTGTTTTTTTTTTTATCTACGTGCGTCTTATCGAATCCCGACGATGCCCTGCTCGTAAAAATAACTTAAGCCCCGATCGAAAAGCGTGGGATTAATTAATCGCGCATTCCGGCATACTAATTAATTAATAAGAGTGGCAATCGATAGTAGATAATAGGACACAGGCAATAGATATTTCTGCTAAAAAGAGGGAATGTACGCGCGACATTTTATTGAACACACGTACAGGGAGAAATTGTTCTTTATGTTCGTTTTTTATCGATTGGCGATATTATTTATTTTATCGTCAACATATTTCGTATCAAAGTAACTCGTTCAAAATTGATAGGAACGAAAATAACAGGCGTTTGTTGTAAATTTCTAATTTAGGTGCAACGTTTGTAACTTGTAAATTGTATCTTTTCGTTACAAGTTACATTTACGAATGACTCGAAACGTATAAAATGAAAAGAAATGTTCATTGCTTATTTGAAATTCCTTCTAAAAACTTGCTCCAAAATTCCTACTAAAAACTTGCTCCAAAATTCCTTCTAAAAATTTGCTCCAAAATTCCTTCTAAAAACTTGCTCCAAAATTTCTACTAAAACTTGCTCCAAAATTCCTTCTAAAAACTTACTCCAAAATGGATTTTGTCTCAAAATTCTTTAAAAAAAAAAAAACTGCTCCAAAACATATTTCACCTGAAACCTGTTCCAAAATTCCAAAATTTGCTCCAAAACCGCCTCTAAAACCCGCTCTAAAATTCTCCCAAGATCTGTTCCGAAAATCCACCTCGAACTAGTGTATCCAACGGGTCACACCGTAGAATCGAAAGCCACACGAGACAACCGCGTTAAATCGGGTGGAATGCAGTTACGTAGGAAATGAGTAGATCGTCGATCGACGGTGCTAGCAACGAAGAAAACCAAGCAGGAGGCTGAAGCTCACGAACAGCACGAGGAGAGAGAGAAAGAGGAAGAGAGAGAGAGAGAGAGAGAGAGAGAGAGAGATAAACGCGGCGAATGACAAAGGGTACGATTCGGTGGTGGAAAAAAAAAAAATAAAAAAATAAAAAAATAAGGGGAGAAAGTCTCGGATACGAGGCTCGGCGAAAACGGAGCGAGCAAGAGGAGAAAGGCCAGTCGTCGGAAGACGAGCACGCAGAAAACGAACAACGAGCACCACGACGACGACGACGACGACGACGACGATACGAAAAGCGGGGGAGGCCGGTGTAGTGGCAGTACATACGTCAAGGTACGAACAGACCGCCATCCCCGGGATCCTCTAACGCCTCGGCAAAAGTAGAGGAGACAAATGACAAGGTGGCCACGCCTACCGCGTCGCGGCGTGGGCGTACGAGCACGCTTGTGTGAGTATGACTTGGATGGAACATAGTGGGAGACGACGGTGCTGGTGGGATTCGTGATATCCAAGGGACGCGGGGAGGGTAACATCCAGAGTGTTTCCTGATTTTTGAAGCGGCCGACCGAGTTATGGACGTCCCTGGCTCCCGGCTCCCGGCCTGCCGAGAATTAATGATCGGTGTCTGTTAAGAATGCGGCCGCAAATGGGCGACCGCTTCCAGTCACTCGCCCCCGATTGATTGACACTGGTCCATCTCCTCTTTTCTTTTCTTTTTTTTTTTTTTTTTTTACTTTCTTCCTTCCCACTTTTGACTTTTTGATTTTCTTCTTCTTCTTCTTCTTCTTCGAGAGAGAGAGAGTAAATTTTGGGAGGGCTTTCTTTTTGTTGCCCCGAATTTTTTTCGAAATTCCACAACGTCCGTGAGAAGACAAAACACAGAAGAGAAGAAGGAATTAAACAAGTACCTGTTTCGGCGAATAATACCTAATTTGCAACGAGGTAACACCGTCGCGTCGCGTCACCGCAGCCGCGTATCGTGTCGAGGTATTCCACGGATGGTATTGGCTCCGTTTATGCGAAATGAAACACCAGGGGAAATATATGAATATGTACAATATTCCTATTTATTGTAATGCGGTAGCAATTGAAGGATTATAGATTATCTGCGGGTGCAGCCGATCGACAGCCCGGGCTTTGCGGCTGACCCGAACGTGTAACTACCGCACAGTCACCGACTATTCATAGTTGCCTCCATGGATGATATCGCGGAATCAAATCGCACGATTATGAAATTAACGGGAATTTCGGGAAGAGAATAAATTGCTGCTCGTTGTTTTGTTTTCATTTTTTCTTTTTTCTTTTTACACGCTCGTGCGTTAGGTATCCAGTACACACGCGTAGAGAGGAATTTAAGTAGAAACAGCCGTGACGAATCAGCCAAGTGACAGCACATTTCTCACACCGTGCGCGTAAATGTTTCATCACGGTATTAATTTGCAATTGAGCTGGTCTCTGTGAATTCTGTTTCACATTTATTTCAATCAATTTTTGACGAACATCAACACGTTTCAATTTTTATACGAGAACGAGCTGATGTCACGTTTACACGAGATTTTAGACATTTTTCCAATGACTTCTGTCAGAATTCTTAAATCATGCTGCTATAACTGACATCTAATAAAAATTGGCCTTCTAATTGTCCCTCTAATGCGCCACCATTGTTATTTATACTTGTCATTTGCTTGAAATCGGTGAAACGAGATCACCTATAAACTCAGTTATTGCCGGGATGTCATAAAAGGATAAGATAGACATTTATCAGCTACGAATGGCTGGTTACGCGTTTAACAGCGGGACTTCGATGTACCTTAACTATTCGATTGACGTTTAACGTTATTCAAACATCGCCAAATGGCCGATTATTTTGCCGAAAGGTAGATTGCCTATCTTATCTATTGTAAAAATAAAATTGCAAAATTATTACTATTAAATTGTCACGCGCAGGAAATATTAGCGCAACAAGCATTAGTGTCAAGTACAAATATTACGAGAGTAAATTACACAAGTGATAATATTATTTCCGAGCAACGTGGAATTTAATTTTTACGTGAATCATTATACCAGAGTCGAGAATTTCGAAAGTGATCGAGAAGAAAGTTTCATAGAGGTCTCGGAACGGTTATAGTTCCATGGAATCTTGCTCTCCTTGTGATCCAGCCCGCCGACGAAATGTTAAGACTTTCAG